TTTTTTTTAAGTTTCATTTATTTTGAGAGAGAGAGAGAAAGCATGAGGAGGGGGAGGGCAGAGACCAGGAGAGAGAGAATCCCAAGCAGGCTCCTCGCTGTTAGTGGGACCCAAACTCCAGAACCATGAGAACATGACCTGAGCCAAAATCAAGAGTTGGATGGGTGTTTGACTGAGCCAACCAAGTGCCCCTGGTGTCTTAGAACTCTTCTTACCACCAGACCCCCAGATGTTTTTCTAGTTTTTTTCCCCCTAAAACCTTTATTGTCTTATGTTTTACATTTAAATTGGTGATCCATTTGAGGTCATTCTGGTATAAAGTGTGAGGTTTAAGCTCATGTTCGTTTTCTGTTGCCTGTGGATGTCCGTCTTTCAGTTCTATGTACCGAAACATCTATCTTTACTCCAGTGTGTTGCTTTTGAACCTTTACGGAAAAGTTGGACTTATTTGTGCGGGTCTACTTATGAGCTCCCTGTTTCATTGATTTGTGTGTCTATTACTCTGCCAAGGGGAGGGAGAGAGGAGACATCCTTGGCCTTGATCCCAATGTCAGGGGGACAGCTTTCAGTCTTTAGCATAATGCTAGCTGTAGGGATTTGAAAGTGCTTTTAATCAAGCCCAGGAGGTTCCCCTCTGTTCTTATTTTTCTGAGAGTTTTATCACGAATGGGTTTTGCATTTTGTCAAATGCTATTTATCAGTTGATAGGATTCTTGAGCTTGTTACTATGGTGGATTACCTTATTGATTTTAGAATATTGACCCAAGACTTGCATCCTTGGAATAAACTCAAATCGGTCATGGTGTAGAGTTTTTTATAAATACAGAACGTAAAAAAAATCCGTAAAACTTATTACCATAATCCTTTTTTTTAGTATACAGTTAAATAGTGTCAAGTGTATTCACGTTACTGTGGAATAGATCCCCAGAGCTTTTTTTTTTTACCTTGCAAATCTGACACTTTGTATCCTTTTTAATAACTTCCCTTTTTCCCTTCTCCCTAGCTCCTGGTCACCACCATTCTATTTCCTGGTTCTGTGAATTTAACTACTTCAGCTGCCTCTATAGTTGCAATCAGATAGTCGTCTCTTTGTGACTGGCTTCTTTAAGTCACTTAGCATGATGCCCTCAGGGTTTAACCCGGGTTGTAGCCCGGACAGCAATTCCTTCCTTTTTAAGGCTGAATGATGTTTCATCGCAGGCACTGACCGCGTTTTAACGACCCACACATCTGCGGACGAACCCTTGGGTTGCCTCTACCTCTTGGATATTGTGAGTGGTACCCCTGTGAACCTGGGTGTGCAAATATCTCTTTGAGACCCTGCTTTCCATATTTTTGGATCAGTTCTCAGAAGTGGAATTTCTGGATCATCTAGAAGGTTCTCTTATTAATTTTTTGAGGACCCTCCGTGCTGCTTTTCCATACTGCACTATTTGACAAGCTCACCAACGGCTTACAGGGATGCCAATTGCTTCACATCCTCCCAACACTGGTTCTTTTCTTTTCTTTTTCTTTCTAGTAGCCCTCATAATGAGTGTGAGGTGACAGTCCCTACTCCAGCCCTTCTTGCAGGGGGCGGGTGGGTTGGGGGTGAGGGTGGAGGTCTAGTCTCCCCACTTGGCCTTTGCTGATGGGCGTGAAGGGCCAATTTTTAATATGGTGTTGGTTATAGTAAAATCATTTATTGTCCAAAAGTTTTCTGCCTCTTTCTTGGTCTGTTGACTAGAGAGACCAGATTTTCCTTGAGGCTTTTTGTTTGTTTGTTTGTTTGTTTGTTTGTTTGCTTGTTTGTTTAAATCTACGCCCATTGGGTACAGCTTATCCAGTTTTCAGTCTGGGGTACAGGAGGCAAAAAGAAAATGCAGAGAATTTACCACCGTCTTGTTCCTTGGGTCCTAAGATTTCTCATCAGCCTGCCTTTTCTCTGTCTTTCAGAGTCTTCTTATGTTTGTTTTATATAATATCATAATACATTTATATAATATATTGTTGTACTTAGTGGGAGGAATAAGGAAAAGGACATCTATTTTTTTCTTCTAGGCTAAAGGGCCAGTGTTTAAATTTTCTGATAAAACAATGTAATTGCCATGGAGACCAGAGGTCTAGTTTGCTTTAACATTAGTGACATGTTCTCTTATGTGGGTTGTCTCATGTGGGAAGACCAATTGTCATCAGGAGGTTGTTGAGTAAGTTTGGAATCAGGGCACAGGTTGTTAGATTAGCAAATAAAGTTTTGTTTTTGTTTTTGTTTTTTAATGTTTATTTATTTTTTTTTTAATTTTTTTTCAACGTTTACTTATTTTTGGGACAGAGAGAGACAGAGCATGAACGGGCGAGGGGCAGAGAGAGAGGGAGACACAGAATCGGAAACAGGTTCCAGGCTCTGAGCCATCAGCCCAGAGCCCGACACGGGGCTCGAACTTACGGACCGCGAGATCGTGACCTGGCTGAAGTCGGACGCTTAACCGACTGCGCCACCCAGGCGCCCCAATGTTTATTTATTTTTGAGAGAGAAAGAGAGAGAGAGTGTGAGCAGGGGAGGGGCAGAGAGAGAGAGGGAGACACAGAATCCGAAGCAGGCTCCAGGCTCCGAGCTGTCAGCCCAGAGCCCGACGCGGGGCTTGAACTCACGAACCCGCGAGATCATGACCTGAGCTGAAGTCGGACGCTTAACCGACTGAGCCACCCAGGCGCCCCGACAAATAAAGTTTAAAGGCTCCAGACTAATGCAGCTGGATGCAACCATCTTTTCAAACAAGACTTCATCGCCAACTTAGGCACCTTTCCTCTGTACCCAACTAAGAGACAGTATAGAGCCTGGACCATAGT